AAATCCAATATAGGAAAATTATCCAGGTCACTCTCTTGGTTTGTTATTTATATATCCCTTTCAATTATTAAGACATCAGCCAGTTTTTTTTGTATGTCCAGTGTAGCATCTTTTCCATATTGTAGCCTGTCATTTTTAAATCCATTTTCAGATCAATCTAATCTTGTCAGGTAAAATTTGTTTCTCTTCTATAACTTCTTTTAAACACACTCTAGCTATAGAGGCAGACACTCTTAAAATTAACTTTTGGGTCCATTGCTCAAAAATATCCTTCAATATGTCCAATGTTAAAATATTTTGCTCCATTCTGTATTAGTAAGTCAAATTTAAGTGTTCTCCTTTAATTGTAATCTTTAGTTTCTTCTGGTTCCTTCTAGTGTCCAACCTTCAAAGTCTCATCCTATGTTTTTTTAAAAAAAATTCAAAACAAAAGCATTTTTCCATGGGAAGGATTCTGATAATTAATACCAAAATCTTATTTCAAATCCATTTGGACCCATTGTCCATTTGTAACTTTCCAAAATCAAAGTTCTAATCACCGTTTTGCTGTTTATTCCCCCCCATTTTTCTTTAACTCCTTAAATTTGATTTAAAACTTCTTTCGCTAAGGATTGAAGGAAACTTGACTTGTCGATCCAAAGGTTAACCAGCAATTTCTGAAAATGATTAGAAAAGGAAGAATGCAAACCCAGTGTCCTTAAAGGCACTGACCGTGGTTTGAGCAAGATGGCTAATCCCTCGTCTCCCAGAGCTCTAAACCTGCTGGAGACCACTGTCTTGTCTCCTTGTCTTCACGAGGAGCAACTGTCTGGCGCACTTGTGGGCGGCCTCTAGTCCTCTTCTTGAAGAGGAATTACGAAGAGCTGGTCTACTCACCAGCTCTTCATTCTGCTGTTGTCTTCAGTTCACCATTTCTTCCCCAGAAGTCCACTTGAAGAGACAACACATACCTCAAAGGTGTGTTAGCAGAGGCTTCTTTCAGAAACTACATGGCTGTCAGGATCACCAGATTTTCTTCTTGGGTGATCAACTTTGGTTATAAAGATGTAATAATTGGTACCATTTTTGTCTAGGATAAACTTATGTTATCGGGTACCCAGTCTAAGAGAGGGGAAGATTTTCTAGAATGGATGGACCTTCAGGGCAAATAATCTCATTACTAGCTTGCTTGCTTTATTTATTTATTTATTTATTTATTTATTTATTTAATACATAGACTATTGCAATGCACTCCACATGGGGCTACCCTTGAAAAGTATCTGCAAGCTTCAGCTGGTTCAAAATGAAGCCACACGGGCAATTTTGGGTGCCCAAAAGATGGCACATTATACCTTTGCTGCGTGAGCTGCATTGGGTCCCAGTTTGCTTCCAGGTCCAATTCAAGGTGTTGGTTATCACCTTTACAGCCCTACATGGCATGGGACTGGGTTACCTGAGGGACCATCTCACCCCCATTATATCCACCTGTCCCACCTGGTCAGGCAGGGAGGGTATGCTGCGGACCCCATCGATGAAAGAAGGTCAACTGGCAGGGCCCAGAAAGAGAGCCTTCTCTGCCGTGACCCCCACCCTATGGAATACTCTCCCCCCAGAGGTGAGGCAGGCCCCAACTCTCTTGACCTTCTGGAAAACAGTCAAGACCTGGCTCTGCCAACTGGCATGGGGTGAGAAAAGGGGCAACTAACCCTAGGGGTGGCTAGCACCTTGAAGATGCTCCCATATGTTAACTACTTACTGACCATCAACATCTTGGACGATATTATTATTTGCGTATGTGTTTGGTTTTAGTCCATTTTTACTGTATTTTATATTGTTTTTATTGTATTTTAATTAATATTTATTGTTGTTTTATGGTGAACCACTCAGAGTCACTTTTTTGAGAGATGGGCAGTATCTAAATTTGAAATATAAATAAATAAATAAGGCCACCCATCTTGCATACATGACTCTGGGTGGCTAATAATTAAAAACAAAATAAAACCAGAGTAAAAAAGACCGACATTTAAAAAACAATATCAGTAGCATAAAATAGCAGCCAAGAACATTCATAACATACTACATTCGAACCCACCACAA